CCAGCAGCAGTATGACAGTCCAGACATATGTGATCTGCCTTTAACATGTGACAGCACAGCTGGACCAAGGGATGGGCAGAAGTCAGAGTTAAACACTATGTAATTAACTGCTGCCTTGCATCTGAGCCCTATCTGTATGTGGACTTGTTCTTCAACTGTAACACCCTCCTCCATTCTCACACTGAGCCCTTGACATAAGGTCGTCCACCTAAAGAAAAGGGCATTTTTTTCTTTGCCCTTATTCACTCTTAAATTCATCTTTTTTTTTTTTTTTTTTTTTTTACCTAGAAAGGACACTTTTTATTAGCACAAATCCCTAAGTAGGCTAAAAAAGTACCTACAAATTAATTACTAAATGTAATTCCTTAGAAAAGTTGGCTATTTAGGAACTGTGACATTAAGGTTTAAAATAAAAACTGAAAAAGCATCAACTATATTTCTGAAAGAGAATCTGTTAGAAAGTGCTTTGATAACATGGTTGATGTTGAGGCTGTAAAGATTGTCAAAATTAAGAAGGAGCCAAATCCTAATACAGATACATACATTCATCCAGACATCCATAAAGACAAGAGGTTATGTAGAAGGGGATCTCAGCACCTGTATCTGATAACAAAAATTATCACAAAAAAACTCTGCCAGATATACTGCCTTCCACAGATTCCAGTGCAACCTTATACAAAAAAATACCTCCATGAGTACATGTGCCAAGAAACTACCTGTTCAACTCTGGATCAATGCCACCCTCGTTATTGATCTTCGTAGTCAGGGATAATTGGTTAAGGGCAATTTATGTAACCTTCCTCATTTTACATTCAAAAATACTTTCCTTTCTCTACCTCCCAAAATACACACATGGTTGCCATGGCACGTGAGGTTCACATGCGATATTTCTGCTTATTCTCAGGTAAACTCACTATCTTTGGGGAATCTCTTTTTGCTGCTACTTAGGTTTGACAAGATTAAGGCTTCTAAGCAATTGTATGTGAGAGGGCTCCCAACAATTTTAGCAGGTACTTAGTCCAAGCAACCAGTACATAAATGTTCTCTTTTGTAAACATAGTTTCCCAATAGGGCTATAAAATCTGAACTAGTGATCATAGTTTCTGTACACCTGTTTATAACTGGGGCTAAATTATATTTTAGTAATAATCATGGTGGTGGTTTGCTAGACTTTTTTATTACTAGGTATAAAATTTAAGAAGTTACAATTTACTATACTATTTTACTTAGTAGTTATGTACTAATTCAATCTTAAAGAAAGCACTAGCAAGCAGTGAAATATTTTTTACCTAGTGAGCATATAATTAAGATGTTACTTTAATAAAAACTGACATTTCCTTTGGAAATAATTACAAATAATGTAGCTTTCATATATACTCAACTCATGTATATTCATCATTTGTTTCTCCTCGATGTAAATATTTTTGGGCAGAGGTGGTGAATGAGAACTAATTTAAAATATGGTTATGATGAAAATACCTCTAAAGAATTTGTTCAATGTCCTCCTTACTTTTTATCCAATATATTCATCTCTTCATTGTTTCATCTTTAACTGATTTTTCATGATTCCTTATTACCTAAAACCTCTTATGTGTATTAGATGACTGAAGACACAGAATTACACGCCTTCTCTGGGTGTTTTGAAAATGAAGATTAACTAGAATGGTCACAAAAGAGCCCACTCACGGATTCTTTGTACCACCCATTTAAAAGTAATTATCTGTTGGTTCTAATGTGTATAATGATTATCTTTAACTGTACTAAAATACAGTGTATTCATTCTAGGAAAATTCTTTTTGCATGCTGTAAGTTAATTGAATGTATAAAGAAATAAAATTTTTAAAAATGTGATAAAAAGTAATGGGTGAATGCTTATTTACAAAGATAATACTATTTTGAAGAATAATCTAAATGGAAGACACTTGAACTGAGTTAACAGGTGCAAAAATCATGATGAAATCTGGGCAGTATAGAGAAGACTAGAGCAGCCTACCAATTGGTTTGTAACAAAGGGAAATATGTAAGGGCGTATACCGTAAGGAGCTATCACCTCAGGCCCACTGGCATGGCTGTGACTAAAAAGATAAAGAGAGATGCTATTCACAATGTTTAGAACTGTGAATTCCACTGCTGATGGGCATGTAAAATGGTACAGCAGGTTAGCAAATGGCTGGACATAAAATTACCATATAATCCAGGAATTCCACAATTAGATGCAGACAGACCAAGAGAAATGAAAATGTGTGCACACAAATAATTTCACATAAATGCTGGTATCAATATTATTCATATGAAGAAAAGAAAAATGGAAACCACACACATGCCTGTCATGTGACAAATGGATAAATAAAAAGTAATATAGCAGGGCCAGCAGGTAGCTTAGTGGTTAAGGCACTGAACTCTCACATGACTGACTGCAGTTCAAGTCCCACAACTGGTGGCTTGCTTTCTCAATTTCTCTCACTCTCTCTCTCTCTCATGGGGACATGTGCCCAATAGCAAATTGAAAAAAAAATTAAATTAAATAATCCTAAAAAAAGTAATATATCTATGAGGCAGAATGTTTTCTTGGCAATGAAAAGAAATTAAATACTGATGACATCTATTAAAGCATTATGAATAAACTTTAAAAAATTATATGAAGTAAAATAATATGGTTACAAAGGATCTTATATTGTAAAATTATTTTATATAAAAGAACTACAATAGGAAAAATAATAGAAATAGAAAGTAGATTTATGGATTCCTGCATTGGGATAGAGGAGACAGACAAGGCAGGGGGTGATAACTATGGGCTACAGGATCCCTGGAGTAATAAAAATGTTATCAAATTTATTATGGTAATGGGGGCACAGATCTTTGAATATACTAAAAGTCTTTTAATTATACACTTTAAAAGAGTGAATTGTATACTGTTTGAATTATATCTCAGTAACTGTTTAAATATTTTTAATGTCAAACACTCTTGGAGGACAAAAAGCATAGTTTCATTTTATATAGCACTATTTTTGTGTGTGCATTATTTCTAATCTTGAATAAATGTGTGGTTTTCTCATGAATCTATTGAATCTTCCTTAAGTGTATATATAATTTCTTCATAAAACTCTAAATTGGGGATAATTGGTACCTTTAGTTTATTTCCCAATATGTAAAGGAAGGCTTTATTGTTATGACAGTGTATCCATTTTCTTAGAGTTTTAATCTAATTTCATTTAAGCACAATCATATCCACCTTTTTGAACTCAGATACAATTATTGATATTTATGCTTGGTTTTCTGAACTTAAGTATTTCCCACAAAGCTATATCCTGGATGGGAATGGAGCAAGACTCATCTTCAACTTTACATCATATATATGACTTGAAGATGGCTTACACCAGCTATTGAAATTCTGAGAGTAATTTTTCCACTATAAATTGTGTTAAGTGTTCATTGATGCTTAGTCAGGGATGTTATACTGATAAAATTATCTAAGCATAAGTATATATTTTCATTTCTTGTTCCTCTGAACTACTTCGACTGAGGTACCCTTCTAATTCTTGATGAGTTAAGTAAGCTGTAAGCATGTGAAAAAGCAAAACTTACAATCAGGAAGAAACCAAACACTCATTACTTGAGTCAGGACTAAAAGAGCTTTAATGTCAGTTTTCCACTACTATCCTGGTATTAAAGTAAGGAAAAAGGAGTAAGATTGATTCACAGTATCTGATAATGACTGATTGCATCTAAACACTGTGCTTTCTGCTAGATTCTGACATCAAAAGTAAAAATGGTGGGAATTCAAGTTTCAAGGAGATCTCAACATAAGTCTTTATGTACAAGTTATGTCTCTTCCTATGATACATACAGAAAATAATTTACCATTTTCTGAAGCAGCAACTGTGATGTTATACCATGGGGTTTCTTCTCTGTCAAGAACCTTTGTTGTCTTAATGGTTCCAGTGTTGGCATCAATGTTGAAAAATCTGTCATCTTCAGCATTGTAGTTGATAAAGTATCTAGAAAAAAAAAAAAACGCTTTTTTAATTTCATACACAATGAGAAAGTACAACTCAACCAAGGTAGTTATTCAATCAAATATACTTCAATGAATATACACATTTAAATTCTATACTTGACTCAAGATTTGCATGACAATTTTGTATTTATGTATAACTTGCATCAATTATTTTTAACCTGTCAGTCTGTAATTATTGCTCAGTGAAATTACTTATTCAAAAAAATAGTTTAAAAATCCTTCCTAAATTCCATGAATAAAATCATATAATAGAAACTCATCGACTTAAAAGAGAGAGAAAAAAAAATGTTATGACAGTGTATCCATTTTCTTAGAGTTTTAATCTAATTTCATTTAAGCACAATCATATCCACCTTTTTGAACTCAGATACAATTATTGATATTTATGCTTGGTTTTCTGAACTTAAGTATTTCCCACAAAGCTATATCCTGGATGGGAATGGAGCAAGACTCATCTTCAACTTTACATCATATATATGACTTGAAGATGGCTTACACCAGCTATTGAAATTCTGAGAGTAATTTTTCCACTATAAATTGTGTTAAGTGTTCATTGATGCTTAGTCAGGGATGTTATACTGATAAAATTATCTAAGCATAAGTATATATTTTCATTTCTTGTTCCTCTGAACTACTTCGACTGAGGTACCCTTCTAATTCTTGATGAGTTAAGTAAGCTGTAAGCATGTGAAAAAGCAAAACTTACAATCAGGAAGAAACCAAACACTCATTACTTGAGTCAGGACTAAAAGAGCTTTAATGTCAGTTTTCCACTACTATCCTGGTATTAAAGTAAGGAAAAAGGAGTAAGATTGATTCACAGTATCTGATAATGACTGATTGCATCTAAACACTGTGCTTTCTGCTAGATTCTGACATCAAAAGTAAAAATGGTGGGAATTCAAGTTTCAAGGAGATCTCAACATAAGTCTTTATGTACAAGTTATGTCTCTTCCTATGATACATACAGAAAATAATTTACCATTTTCTGAAGCAGCAACTGTGATGTTATACCATGGGGTTTCTTCTCTGTCAAGAACCTTTGTTGTCTTAATGGTTCCAGTGTTGGCATCAATGTTGAAAAATCTGTCATCTTCAGCATTGTAGTTGATAAAGTATCTAGAAAAAAAAAAAACGCTTTTTTAATTTCATACCACAATGAGAAAGTACAACTCAACCAAGGTAGTTATTCAATCAAATATACTTCAATGAATATACACATTTAAATTCTATACTTGACTCAAGATTTGCATGACAATTTTGTATTTATGTATAACTTGCATCAATTATTTTTAACCTGTCAGTCTGTAATTATTGCTCAGTGAAATTACTTATTCAAAAAAATAGTTTAAAAATCCTTCCTAAATTCCATGAATAAAATCATATAATAGAAACTCATCGACTTAAAAGAGAGAGAAAAAAAAAGATGAAAACAGAAATGAAATGAAACCAAAAATGCTGTAAATACACTAAAAAAAATTAGGATTATAGATCATTTTATTGAAAAAAAAAAAATTAGGATTATAGATCATTTTATTGAGTTGTCAGGAAAGTCATGACACATTTTTAAATAGAAAGACACATCACGACTTTTCTGATGACCTAGTAATTTGGGGTTCTGTTATAGCTGAGATTAGAAGATAAATATAAAATGAAAAGCAAAACATATTTATTACCATTGTATCTCCCTCATTTTCCTTGACTAAATCCTTGTTTTGTCAAGGGATGAGAACAAACACAATCGAGGTGGCTGTGTGATGGGCCACAGTCTCTCTCTCAGCTCCCGTGGTTGTACAGGGTTTTCTCAACTGGGTTTGGCCTCCAGCTTCCTTTGGCAACAAAATGACTTTAAAGTGATGGTGTCATGTCTTGGGCCTTTGGTTTTTTTTTTTTCTTTGAGACGTTTTTTCCCTTATAGGGCACGTGCGCTCGCCAGACAGAGAGAGACATAGAGACAGAAAGCAAGAAATCACCCCCCACCCCCAGGGGAGATGGTCATGCCGCAATCCCTTCTCCTCCATTCTCCTCTCGGGAGTGCCCGGCCTGAGTTTTAAGCCGACCAGGTCCAGGATGCTAACCGAAGTCGACTACGTGGGAGTCCAGTGACATAGCCATTACGCTAACTGCTGGTTCCCTTGGGCCTTTGTTTCATGAATTTTACAGGTTTATCTCATGCTCTACTATTGTCACTTGTCCCAGCAGGAGTAACAAAAAGTTCTCAGTTAAGACTCCCCATACTAAAGCAGAGCTGCTTAGTAAATGTATTAATGCACAATCGTGCATACTAATGAGAAACAGGTAGAAAGCAAAGGCCAGTCTAGTTCAGCTGATCCTAGGTATCACACACACACTCACGCACGAACGCACGCATACACTATAGTTATTTATGGTTTTCTTATCCCTGAGTTCTTGGATTGTACATAACTCAGTAATAGCTAGCAAACATGCATATGAATAACTAGCCTAGTAAGCAGCCCTCATGTGTTCTAGTAATGTTTGAGGCTCTTTCTAGAATTATTTAAGGACAGAAATGTTCTCTTCTCTCTTAAAACCACTAATACTTTTTCCTTAAGCTAGATAATATTTCTTCTAAACTTGGAAGAAAAAAGAATGAACTGATGGCTCAATCTCTGGGGCACAGCAGTTACACAAGTCCCCTGCAAAGCTAGAAGCCAAACGACGGGTTCAAATTTCTGAGTTGGCGACTGATGCAGATGGCCAGGAGTTAGACCCAGCAGGCTTGGCAGCACACGGATTTTACCTTTCTCTAAAATCAATGGAAAAACTTTTTTTTTTTCTTCAATATCTGCTACAGGGTACGTGCACTCATTGGAGAGAAGGCGAGAGAAGGAAATTGAGAACTCAATCCCTCCAGAGGGGATGGCCATACCATAATCCCTTCTTTATTCTCCTCTTGGGGCTTTGGGCCCCCATGCACATGTTCTCAGCATGTTTTACAAGCTGCTGGGTCCAGTCACGTGGGATTCAGTAGTCTCAACTACAATGCTACTGGTTGGCACAAGAAAATACTTTAAATAATGGAAAAAACAAATGTATTTATGTTTTGGAAAATTGCAGTAGCTACTTTGAATCTTGGATTGTAGAAAATTTTAAAAAAATGAAAAAATGATGTTATCTTGGACAAAAGTAGAAAAATATAAGGTAATGGGAAAGAGCATGCAAAATACTGCTATATATTTGATATAGCCTATAGAACTTTGTGTTGGAGTGGCATTAGTAAATGGAAGAAGTCATACTGGCTCAATTTGTTTGTGAATATGTATGTGTGGTCTATGAAATAGTTGATAGACTCATTTTTTGAGATGGAAAGAAGAGTTAGAAACAGTTTGAGAGAAAAGAATGACTTTGACATCGGATGCTTCAGATGTCAGTTATGAAAACATGTGGATAAAAAGCAGAAATTAAACATAGGTATGGAGTTCAAGGCCACTGTCCAAACAGGCTATATAAATTGATAAATACTAGCATAAGTTTAAAATAATGGGAATAGTATGATATAGAAGTGAATCATGTAAGATAAGAGAAAACAGAAGGTTGAGCACTGAAGCACCCAACTTTTAGAGTATAGTAGCCCACTATGTGTCTAAAAGGTGACAACAGGAGAGGGTGACAACTGGGAGAGTGGTAGCATGGAAGCCAAAAAGAAAGAGACTCTCAAGGAAGGAGTGGACCATGGCAGTGCCTTCTGCTATGAGGCTGAGTGAGGTTAGGAAGCATTGATGTGATTTAGGGAGATGGACATTATTCGTTATTTTGGCAAAAGTAATTTTAATAAAATGCAAAAGATTGCAGTTCTATTATAGTCAATTCGACAGTATATGGAATAAGGATATATAAATCTCAGTAGTCAGGACAATTTATTGGTACCTTTTCCTGAGTGAAGATCAGAAAAAAGAAGCCTTTATGTCATCAGGGAGATGGGTTTGACATTTTTATTTTTCTGATATAAGTAATATAAAGCACTATCTTTGCTGACGGGAATAATTCTTTTGAGAGAGGAGACTACTTCTCTATGGCAAAACTCATAAGAAGGAAAAAAGATTGGATTGAAGAGAACGAATGGAGGAAATGTCTATCTTAGCATGAGGAACATATGAAAAGTTGGGTAAAAATAGAAAATAGGTAGATCTATTTGAGGATTTTTGAGGAATCTCCATATTGTTCTACATAGTGGCTGGACAAATTTACATTCCCATCAGCAGTGTAGGAGAGTTCCCCTTTCACCACACCCCTGCCAGCACTTAGCTTTTTTATTTATTTTTTTTAATCTCAGTCATTCTGGCTGGGGTTAGGTGGTATCTTACTGTGCTTTGATCTGCATTTCCCTTACAATGAGGGATGTTGAACATTTTTTCATATGCTTTTTGGCTATTCATATATCATTCTTAATGGTTTTTTTTTTCAACTCATTCTCCCATCTTTTAATTAGGTTGATCATCTTGAGTTCACTGTGTATTCTGGTTATCAGTCCCTTATCTGACACATAGTTCACAAAAATATTTTCCCATTCTGAGGACTGTCGATTCACACTAATTACTGTGTCTTTTGCCATGCAGAAACTTCTTAATCTGATGTAATCCCACTTGTCTATTTTTGGGGCTATTGGCATATGTGATTGAATGTATAAAAGAAATTGAAATAAAAATATACACATATATAGGATAGGCAATTGTGGCAATGGAAACTACAAAAGTTGTCATACTTTTTAAACCGGAGTGTAAGTATAATTGCAATATAACTCCGTGCTTGTCACAGGCAGGATGTATTAACAAGTAAGCAGAACACATTGCTAAGGTGTAAAATCTTCAAATGGCTTGTAGATACACATGCACAAACACAGCAAAAGTTACTATTGGTGGAGACCAGCAACTGGCATAACAGTTACATAGCTGGACTCCCACAAGGCTGACCAGAGTTTGAATCCTGGACCCAGAGGCTTGAAACTCTACACTGGACATAATGAGCATGGATGCCCAAGATCCTGAGAGGAGAATGGAAGAGAAAGGATTGTGGAGTGGCCATCCCCCAAGATGCATGATCTCTCATCTTCTATCTCTGGTGAGTGCATGTACCCTATAGCAAAAATCTCTCATTAAAAAAAAAAGAAAAATAGATACTAATGGTTCTGAAACTCCGAGTATCCCAAGAAATACAGGCACCATTAGTTAAAAAATACCAGAAAAGAGAATGTATCACTTGTAACTACATGATCAAAAGAAAGATATGTCCCTTGTACATTGTTTTAATAATAACTATAAATTAATTGAAGAAAGTTCAGCAAGAAAAAAACTATCTTGGGAACTAGCAGTTAGCGGAATGGCTGTCACTGGACTCCCACGTAGTCGACCGCGGTTCGCGTCCCAGACCCGGTGGCTTAAAACTCACGCCAGGCGCGGGTGCATACGTGCCCAAGATCCGAGGGGAGAATGGAGGAGAAGGGATTGCGGCATGGCCATCCCCCCTGGGGGGTGATTTCTCGCTTTCTGTCTCTCTGTCTCTCTCTGTCTGTCTGGCGAGTGCATGCGCCCTATAGCGAAAACCTCTCCAAAAAAAAAAGAAAAAAACTATCTAAACAAGAAAAGTTACAGAAACCAATCAAGTCCTCTCAGGAACACTAAATCCAGACACTGCAGCCATGGTACAGAGAAACTGCTTTGCTTTCTTTGACTTGAGTTCTTACAAGGAAAAGACCTTCTGATAATAACCCTTCCCAGAGACCTGATGCTGAGGGTGAGATTGATCTGCCTAGGGTATGTGATAAGTCTGGTTACAGAAGAAAAATAATATATTTTAAAATGTAATCAACTGGCATTCTGACTATGTCATCACCTAAAATTAGTTGTCATTATCCTGTATTTAAAACAACAACAACAACAAAATATACATTTTTGGTTACTCTAAAAAAAAAAAAAAAAACTGGTTTCTGTAACTGAAAGTTGGGAGACTTAAAATTAGAACATGTTCAGCCTCAAAGTTTCCTGCAGCTACTTTCAGGAAAGTTCAGGTCACTTCCCAGACTTTTGGCTAAGAGGGACTGTAGGAAAGCTCAGATTACATTGCTAACAATACACCCCTAAAATACAGCAGAATATGCCTCA